GGCTATCCCTACGAAGAGGGGGTGAGAGGCTACTTTATATATCTCTGTATTTTTAAAATTTAGCTTTAGTGCCTTGTCTTTGTGATCTGTATTTGGCCATTGGTGGCATTTTTGTTCCTATCATCATTCTCAGCCATGCTCCTACATAGGTTAGCTGTCATGCAGAGTGCTGGGGACACAGAGCAGGCACACAAAAAACAGTTGGTCAGTTAATTCTGGACATTTCCGCCTGGATGCTCCCACAGCACCCTGAGTTCAAAATTTGATTACTTGTTCCAGGTAATTAATTACCCTCTCTAACAGATCTCTTTCTTTTCTATTCCCTAGTCTCTCCAAATGAGAAATCCATGTCTGACTCAGACCCTCTCTTTTCCACAGGCAATCATTCTCTAATTCATATTGACTCTACCCCCTAAAATCACCATTGAATCCATATCCTCTTTTCCAACTCCTCAGAATCTCTCACTTGGACTACTTCCAAAGCCTCCAGATTAGTCTCATCCATTGCTAATTCGTCTACTATACTGGTTCCAAGAGTGACCTTTCTAAAATAAAAATCTAAATCGTGCATCCCTCTTACTTAAAACCTTCACCAACAATAAAAAGTCTGAAGCCCAAAGTGTGATATTCGAGTCTTCATGATCTAGTGGTTGCGAACCTTTTTATTAGCTCACTTCTCATCAGTGCCCACTTCACCCTTTATGTCCTAATGAGGAATGACTATGGGACTAACGACTAAACTGATCTTAATTCTCCAAACGTATCATGCAGCTGTGCAATGCCTGGAATGACCTCCCACCCAACATCATAATCCACCAGGCAAACCTACTTATCCTTTAAAAGCATCAAACAACATTTCATCCTCTTGGAGGGCTTCCCTCACCCCAAACTTCTCCCCAGTAGCCATCCTAGTACGTACCTTACACACACACACACACACACACACACACACACACACACACATTTATTAACTTTTTAAAGTGTTTCCTCCCGCAAGTCTCTTGGTTCCTCAAGGGCAGAGCCTTGTATTATCGACTCTACATCCTCTGTGCCCACCCCAGTACCATGTGCCTGACTTATAGCAATTGTTCAACAATATTTATTAAACTGAGTTTAAACACACTTTGGTAAAATGTGAAATCCTAAACAAGACTGGAATGTTTAAAATCGTGTTTTAATTAGGCTCATTTCAACCATAAAAAAAACAAACACTCAAGTTACTTTAATAAGAGGTTTGGGAGCTGTATTAGAAAGCTATCCAGGAAATGTTTTTCTGTAGAGAGCTGCTTTTTTCTCCTCTGTTTCCTCAGCCCTTCAGTTTGCACATGGGTGATCCTGGCCTCACCAGCCTCTCCTGAAACTCTTCAGCTTCAGTCCTCACTGCTAACAAGCAATTTATCTCCACATTATCTAATCCAAATTTCTGAGAGGGTTGTTTTGGCTTTGGCACCAGGCCACCATGTCCCTTCTTTCTCTCTGGTGAAGCTACGGATCTGCTGCCCTATGGTTAGGTGACATGCCAGAAGCTCCATGACCAATGACTCACATTCCCCCAACTTTCAATTTAATATATCATTTTTATTTCCTTAGAACCATTGCTAAAGTATATCACTAAAATTATTTTGCAATACTTTTAAAAACAAGTCTTGCCAAGACTTGTTCACAGTGAGAAAAATCCTGCATACTTCATCACTAAACCAGCTATACTTTCCAAATATGCAAGGAGTTCATCCCTTTTTATTTGTAGATGTTCACAGAAAGAATCCTCTGGATTCCTAACTGCTCAACAGCACTGGTTTAAAAAGCTTTTTTTACAAGCTTTTTGCAAATTTCTCTTACATTTATAACGTAAAGACACAAGTAATCCAGACATTTCCTTGTTAAATTTTACCCTGTAATATCAAGTAACTTTATAGAACGATAGCACACACAATGGCAATCTACCACTAACCCACAAAACCTGTTTCTCCTCCTCCAAACTAACACCACAAGGTAATGATTGAAGGAAGGCAGGCCACTCATTGACAAGCTCCTGTGGTGAGGAAAGAGGAGTACAGGCCAGGAGACAGGCACTCTTAGGTGGCCTCCAGTAAAATCAGATTCTCAGTGCTATTAATCTCCTGAATAAAAATTAGAAAAAGGCTAATTAAATATCTGCTATATCTAGGGAGACATCACAGTTGCACTAAGAACAAATTAAACAGCATGAGAACACTAAACACATCATTGAAAGGAGACGGCAATTCATTCACTAAAATATTCTGGCTATTCTGAGATTTCAATATTCACTGGAAAGAAATATTGTTAGAAGGAGATGGGGGAAAATTGATAACAGCTGTTCAGATGATCTGAAGGAAAAGAAACTTTTTCAAATGTAGATTGTCCTTACATTTCTTGACAGTAAGGGAAGAATTTTCTACTTTAAAATCAGGCAGGTGTTCTACTTAGCCAACCTGTTTATTCATAGGTTTTTAAAAACAAGCAAAGAAAATGTTAACTTGAATGTCTTGGAGATGTTTTAGTCAAGCAGTAAAAGGGGTATAAGTCCTTATGCTCTTTTATTTATTTTTTTAAATTTATTTATTATTTAAAGGGAACTTTTTATTTATTTTATTTATTTATGTTTGGCTGCATTGGGTCTTTGTTGCGGTGCGCGGGCTTCTCATTGCAGTGGCTTCTCTTGCTGCGGAGCACAGGCTCTAGGCGTGCGGGCTTCAGCAGTTGTGGCATGCAGGCTCAGTAGTTGTGGCACGCAGGCTCAGTAATTGTGGCTCACAGGCTCTAGAGCGCAGACTCAGTAGTTGTGGTGCATGGGCTTAGTTGCTCCATGGCATGTGGGATCTTCCCGGACCAGGGCTGGAACCCATGTCCCCTGCATTGGCAGGCGCATTCTTAACCACTGCGCCAACAGGGAAGCCGTCCTTATCTTCTTTAAAAAAAAAATAATTGGAGCAATAAACCAAGAAAATATTATATGATACCTACATTCTAAAGACTTTGATTTCTTTCCAAAGGAGAAGCTTACAATGATTTTAATTTACTAACTAGGCCTATTTACAGTTGTCAAACTAATAAAAATAGGAAAAAAGGAAGAAGCACTAGTTTCTTCGTGTTTCATAGTTGGAATCATTGGAAACTACCTGAATTGAATAAGTCAAAAATTTATATTATTTAAAGTCAGAAAGGTAAACCGGAGAACTAAAAATTATACTGTAACAATCAAAACTTGAGAGGCATCAGGGAGCGAGGAAGCAAAATGTAGTGTGCATCCAATTTCGCATCTTTCAGAGGAAGGAATCAATAGATACCATGTAAAGTTGATAAATCACGAAACGGAAGTATAACTTTTAAAGTAGTAAAGGCAACCTCCAGAAGAACAAGAAATAAACTATCAATAGTAATTACCTCTGAAGGTTGGGAGGACTGAATGGGGAACACTTTTTATTTTATACTTCTGAACAATTTGCACTTTCCTACCATGTGCGTATATTTATTTTTTAATCTCGTTTTTTAAACTGTCAATAATCAGACATTATTTAAAAAAAAAGAAAATGTACTATATTTCATTCTCTGTACCTAACAACTCACAGACCGTCAACTATAAAATTGAATACGTTGTAAAGTGAAATATCTCATCTGTCAAATTAAAGGTAAGGTAAAGGAAGCAGAGCTTTTTTTCCCCACAGTGCAAAGTGCGTAGCTATTGTTTGAAAATCAAGACTTCCCTGATCAATTTAAGCAAAAACACTGTTACTGTCCAAAATAACTCCTCTAAACTACTACTAAATACAGTCAAGCTAATGAACAGAGAGAGGTCAGAGGCTTCACGGCAGCAAACAAACTAGAAGTCCTTACATCAAATCAGTAAGACATTTAGGGGCTTATATTTTCTTTGAAATCAAAACAAGAGAGGCATTTTGAAAGTCTGCTATCTTCACTGATCCTCTAAGGAATGTAAAAGTATGTACTGCAGTTTCAAACCTCCTAGTGCTTGAGTTTTTTAAAGCAATTTACTTCTGCTTGAACAAGCAGTAAGACAGGCCACAGCAGTTGGGTGTTCTGTTAACCCTTAGTTTCAAACCTTTATGCTCACACTAATAGTTCAACTTTCTAATGCTCCCAAATATAGTTATCTCAAAGAAATTTCAAACCACAGTCATACTACGGAATATGATTTAATACACTGATTTTAGGACTGGATCATTTCTGGTAACCACAATAGTTATAACTTAGGTAATAATATGAGTAAAGATCACAGATTTGAAAACTGTGCCTATGCTCATCCTCTTCTCTTCTTGCAGTATCTCACCCTATCGGACAGTCCTTGAAGCAACACTGACAAAGAAGCGTTCACAAATTTTAATTTACACATATACAACCTAATCTTGGCGAGACATAACTACCTAATGCATATCCCTGAAAACGCATCAACTTTACTCAAATAATAACTCCTATGTCTAATATACTGGCAGCCTGACCACAGTCCAGATACACGTCGCGAACTCTTCTATGTGATAGACAAACCTGACTTAGAGAACCAGAGGCTTTAGGCCTGCTGGTAATCAAAAGGGTCAACAAATTGAAGCAATCCTGTCTTTTAAACCCATGGTAAACTTAGTTAACTAAGGCATCACTCAGAATCAACTCTCAACCCCTAATACATCCAGACTTAAAGACGTAAAGCTCTTGTAAATCTCTTGGTAGGCGAGTCTCTCGGACCCACCAGGTGGACCTACTTACTCCAAGGCTCCTCCCTCGTACCCTGCTCAGGACCCTCAGCCGCGCGATTCCAGGGCGCCCTGCGCCACACCTTGGGGGTGCCGCAATCCAGTGCCCCGTGCTCCTCCCCCGACCACTCGGTCACCCATCCCGAGTCCCCCGACTTGCCCGCCCAGCCCATCCCTTCCACATCTCCAGCCCCACACCCGCCCCCCCTCCAGGCCAAGTCCAGCTGGCCTCTCCCCTTCCCTTTCACCACCACCCCCACACCACACACTCACCCGCGGTAGTAGGCTTTCACCCGGACCTGGTGAGAATGGTCCCCGCTGCCGCCGCCGCCTGCGATCGGGTGAGACATGGTACTGCTGTCTCTCTGGGTCGGCATCTCCTTCCTCCCCCGCCTCAACGCTGGAGGCCGAGGGGCGCACCGGGCGCCGTAGGGGACTCCGAGGCCCGAGTTTCTCCCGGAGCCGCGGCTGCCCGCTCGCCTACCTGTCCTCCACGCCCGCGGCGCGGGCCCAGAGGTCGCCTAGCCAGGGCAGCCGGAACCCGCACGGCTCCCCCCACCGCCAGCGGCAGACACTGCCGCTGCTGCAGCCGGGGCCCAGCACGCCTCCCACCTCCGCCCCTCCCACCTCACACGCTCCAAAGGCCCACATTCCGGGAGAGGGCGGGTGCAACCATCGATCCAACTCAAGATGCCTGGCTGAACCATTCTTACGGGGGCAAGGAAAAGGGGAGAGAGGAGGGGGGATGCTGAACATCACAAAAAACTTGCCGGCAGGGGCCTTTTGTGGGCTGTAACTGAGAGAATGTGACGATTGAGGTAACTATAGTTCTGTAAAAAGCCCCTCCCTACAAGGAAAATGGTGGGGGACAAATTCTGCGGCATCTCACCCCAGTTTCCTGTCTTGGTCGCGTCCGCGGTCAGACGGCTAGGGACTCGGAGTAGATTTGCCGGGCGGGTTTCTGGGACTTGGAGTCCCCATGGGATTCTGGGACTTGAGGTTCTTTACGTGTAGAGCGTCCCGCCTTCTCGCTGACCGTCTGTCTTCAGCTTGTGCCCCGGGACCCGTCGGCGTGGAAGTCCTGAATCCACCGTGGGCACCTGAGGACACTGGAAATGATTGGGGTTCCTCACAATCTAGACTTTGTTCTCTGGTGAATTCTTCCAATTGCATAAATCATCTCAATCATACAGTACCTTTTCTGAAAAGAAGAATTTGGTTACTGCCCAGCATAGCCTCTTTTATGAAAAGAATTTAGTATAATATATGTAACAAATGTAATAATGAATGTAATAAAGGAAGAAACTCAACTGGAAAGTATGATGGAAGATTGACATTTCTTCCTTCGCCGCCCCCCATATCTTGGCCCCCGTAGATTGCCATTGCATGGAACAGGTGCACAATGAATATTTAGCCAATCAGTCAACCCATCCAACTATCCATGCATTGGCATTTTTTAACATCGTTAAAACATTGTTAACATCGACTGTTTTCCATAGCGGCTGTGCCGATTTACATTCCCATCCTAATTTCATTTTTTATTATTCATTTCTAGTGTATAGAAATACAATTGATTTTGTATATATGTTGAATCCTACAAGCTTGCTGAACTCATTAGTTCTAATAGTGTCTCGGTGGATTCCTTAGAATTTCCTGTGTGCAAGATTATGCCATTTTAGAGTACAGATTGATTTACATCTTCCTTTCCAATCTGGATGTCTTTTATTTTTCTTGCCTGATTGTATTAGATAGAACTTCTAGTATTATGTTGAATAAAGAGAAGTATGTTAACATTCTTGTATTGTTCTCAGTCTTATGTGGATAGTTTTCGGTCTTTCACCATTAAATATGATTATTGCTTTAGGTTTTTTGTAGATGCCCTTTATCAGGTTGAGGAAGTTCCATTCTATTCCTAGTTTGTTGCCTAATTTTATTACGAAGGGTGTTGGGTTTTGTTTAGTGCCTTTTCTGTGTCTATTGAGATTATCATGTGGTTTTGTGCTTTATTCTATTGGTGTGATATGTTACATTAACTTTTAGATGTAAGCCAGTCTTGCATTCCTGGGAAAAATTCCTCTTGGTTATGACATATAATCGTTTTTATACGTTGCTAAATTCGGTTTGTTAATATTTTGTTGAGGAATTTTGAATCTACACTCATAAGCATGGTTTCCTTTAGTTCTTTAGACATGTTTATAACAGCTGCTTTGAAGTCTTTGTGTGCTAAGTCCAACATATGGGTCCTCTCAAAGACAGTTTCTGTGTGTATGGGTCCCATTGCCTGTTTCTTTGTATGTCTCATAAGTTTTTTTGTTGCAAACTGTACATTTCCATGATAGCAACTCTGAAGACCTATCCAGACTGGCTCTAGGTCTGGTTGTCGTTGTCGTTGTTTGCTTGTTTATTTGTGAGTTGGCCAGACTTGGTCAATAGACTCTTGTTTCCTCCACAGTGTGCAGCCTCTAATGTCTCTCCTCAGAAGGTGCAACTTTGGCATGCACACCGTCACCCTGACTCCTTGTCCCTCCCCTGGGGGATGACAGTGGTTTTAGTTAGGTTCTCTTTGACTGTCTCTTTTCCTCATCTCCCTATCAAGCTTTTAGCTGGTTTGCCTTTATGGATATAGCTCCCAGCTGTTAGCCTCCACTAATTGGCAACTGATTGCTCCAGTGTTTTTGACAGTGCCCTGGGGCATAAAATTGTTCCACAGTCTGATCCAATGGTCCTTTTTTACTTATAATTTTCACCAGTTATGGTGGTTTCATTGGGGAGAGTATACAGGGAGCTCCTCATGTTTCCATTCTGGAAGTGCTCTGACATTAATTTTTAAAGTCAGTGTGATGCAATTAAAATAGATACAGGGGCTTCCCTGGTGGCGCAGTGGTTAAGAATCCGCCTGCCAATGCAGGGGACACGGGTTCGAGCCCTGGTCAGGGAAGATCCCACGTCGGGGAAGATCCCACATGCCGCAGAGCAACTAAGCCCGTGCACCACAACTACTGAGAGTGCACTCTAGAGCCCGCGAGCCACAACTACTGAAGCCCATGCGCCTAGAGTCCATGCTCTGCAACAAGAGAAACCACTGCAATGAGAAGCCCGCACACCGCAATGAAGAGTAGTCCCCACTCGCCGCAACTAGAGAAAAGTGTGCGTGCAGCAACAAAGACCCAACACAGCGAAAAATAAAATAGATAAAATTTAAAAATAAAAAATATAAATAAAATAGATACAAGGCACAGACAGTTAAGCATATAGGATAATCAGGGTACAGAAATTATGTCATTTTTAGTAACAAAATATGAGAAAGTATTGAGCCATCTCTTTAGTTTAAAGAAAACAGGACTCTCTTAAAGGGTTTAAAAGGAACCTGGCATCGCATTAATCATATCTTTAGGAAAATCTGGCTTCCTTTCTACAGATTGAGCTGCTCTAACAAGAAAATGTCTACTCAGAATAGGTAGGCCTTTATATTCAATATTAACTAGCCTCACCACTGTGTCCTGCTGTACATAGATCAAATATGAAAATTTGTTTTTCATGTTCTTTATGCCATCTAATAAATCCTGCTGCTGGATCTTTGATGCCTGTTTCTCAACTGAGAATCACATGATACAAAATGGGAAGTCAATGGTAAACATTGTGAAAAAGCCTCCCATAGCCCATTTTCTTTTTGTTGTACTTAAAATGGTGCTTACTAGTACCTTCAACTTTGGCTAAGCCTGCCTCCCTTCACCTAGCATTCTTCTGTGGTTTCATTAAGCATTTGATCATGTCACTAAAAAGAGAGAAAAGTGTTTCAACTGCAAGTCCTGATCATTTGGAGGGACTCTGTGACCTGTAGAGATAAATATTGGGCTCTGAGCTAAATTATACTTACTTTTGGCTCACTGTGATGACTTGAATAGAAAAAAAATTAATGCTCAAATCCACCAGCTTAAGGGATTTAAAATATTTTTGGCCAACATTCTCTCATTTTGTCATTATCAGAGTGTTTGTCCCAATGTGCGGCAAAGAAATAAACTGCTTGGTGAATGGAATGAGATAATAAATAGTAGACACGTGTCCTGTGTAATCATGTCCTAATAGTATTACATTAATTGTTTTACTTAACCTTCAAGAGCAAAAGTTGTGACCCAAACTCCTGACTGAAGTCCTGACAGCTGTTAGTAAGAGTTTAGTTTTTATTCTGTTAATTAACCTTACTGAGTTAGCATAGATAACAAACAATACCCCCATGACTCCCTTTCCCCCTTCTTTCTCCTGTGCCCTCTCACTGTCCTGTTGACACCGTCAGCTTTATCTGGGTACTCCCTTCACTCCAGCCACATACACTCATTTCCATTGCAGTTCCCCAATCTCACTCCCACAGTACAGATAATGACATACAGCAGTTTGAGCCTTAACTTATTTTGCCTTTGAAGTAAAATGTCTTTGTTTTAATGAACTGTCAGTGGAGAGTTCTATTAAGCTGAAGAGACAGCAAAATAAATAAATAAAATAAAATAAAACATTTACTTAATGAAAGTCACTGAATAGCCAAAGATGTCTGAGAAACCTCAACATAGTTAACTCCTATGGGGTTAGTTGGTGCAGGCATTATGCTCTCCCCTTCTTTTCAAGAAAGTTACAATCCAGATAGGATGTCAGGACATGTACCAATAAAGAGAAAAAATGCAAAATGGGAAACTGTGCGCCAGTAAGTGACAAAGAATAATTGCAACAGCTCCTGAGTGCTACCTCATCTTCTTTAGGAACCAGAAGAACCCACTTGTGTCTGGCTTAACTGAAAGGTACAAAGTTGACTAGTAATGTGACGAAAGAAACGGAAGAACAGCTTCAGGGCTAATAGCACATTTTGGCTTCTGTAAGAAACTTGCTTGCTTGCTTGGGGCGGGAATAACCGGGTTCCTGATTGGCTGATTCAAAATTAAACAGCTCCCTCCCGCCTTGGGGACTTCCCGCCCTGTGAAGGGTATAAAAGCCTCGCCCGGCTGTTAGTCGGGGTCTCACTCACTTCTCTCCGGGTGGCATCCTGTCTGGACAGTTTGTGTAAGCTTCTATACTTGTACTTGTATAAATCCTTTGCTAATCTTTCTACTTGGTGTTGGTGATTCTCAGGTGTCCTTGGTTGGGACACGGGTCGCATTTACCGGGGAACTTGACTCCAGGCGTGTGGCTCCCGGACCACAACAGTAAAATGTCAGGTTGAAAAAGCCTCCATCAAAACACACAAATTTCTTTTAGAAGTATCATTTGTTTAATGATGTTGGCGCACCAAGTATGTTGTCCCTAACAGCAGTCAACCATTAAATGTAAGCTACCCTCCAATTTGAAGAGGCAAACCTGTTCTTGAGGATGGAGTATCCAATTGAAAATTGGAAATTGAAAATGTAAACCTTATCTAATAAATTCTCCCCACTCCAGCAGCTCACCCACCCCAGCATTGGCCTCCTTTAATACCCTAGTTCTCGGGGACTTCCCTGGTGTCCAGTGTGTGAGACTCCATGCTCCCGATGCAGGGGGCGCGGTTTCGATCCCTTGTGGGGGAACTACATCCCGCATGCATGCCGCAACTTAGAGTTCACACACTGCAACTCGGAAGCCCA